ACCCTTCTAGTATGTATATATATATATATATATATAATGTTAACCCAAATTATTGTGTTAACTTTGTTAACTATTTTCAACCAATCGCATCTTAGTATTAGATTTTTATCCATCTTAGAATTTAATGACAATGGTACATATGTAATTTTCTTTTTTATGTAACTCCTATATCATTAATTAGGAGTTACATAATCATAAAATTCCATGATTTGTGTTAACTTATTATTACTTTTGTTATTTTTTGTAACATTGATTCTCTATCTCTAATGTTTATGAATTTGTGACTGGTGGAGGAGACCCGGTAGTAAAGTTTTTGGTAACATTCAAATTGACATATAAGAAAAATGATTAACATGTGTGACCATCTGAACACAAATTCACATATGAGAACATTTGTACAACCATATAAACACAACTCGACATATATGAATCATTATGTCAATTACGAACACAGAATGACATATACGAACACTTGTGTCAATTACGAAACTAGATTGACCTATATGTATAGTTGTAATAAATATGAACACATATTGACCCAAATGAACATACGAAAGATGATGAACATGTGTGATCATATGAACAGAAACTCACATATATGAACATTCATACAACCATCTGAACACACTCGACATATATGAACCCTTGTGTCAATTACGAACACAAATTGACATATATGAACCCTTGTGTCAATTACGAACACAAATTGACATATATGTACAGTTGGTATAAATATGAACACATATTGACACAAATGAACATGTGTGATCACAAAGGTTCAAATCCAAGGAGGAATAAAAATTCTCTTGTGGCCATGGAGGTTCAAATGCGATGACTTCGGGCTATCTGCAAAGCAGGTGATCGCCCTGGGATTAGTCAGCTCACATAGCTAGTTGGATATTTAGGTTAATAAAAAAATGATGAACATGTGTGACCATATAAATACAAATTCATATATATGAAAATTCGTACAACCATATGAACACAACTCAACATATATGAACCCTTGTGTCAATTACTAACACAAATTGACATATATGGACCCTTGTGTCAAATACAAACACAAATTGACATATATGCACACTTGTGTCATTTACGACTTTTTTGCCATATACACCTTTGTTCACACATGAACAATTCCCATAAATATCGAATACTTGTTCACATATGAACAATTAACAAAAAAAACTGTAGAAGAATCTGGTGTCGGGGATCTTGTTGTTGGTTTTGATCGATAACGAGATTAATTCCCGGATAGTTATATTGTTATTAATAGACAGTTACAAAACATCTCATTGTCATTAATGTGTGGTTACAAAACATCTCATTGTCATTAATGGACAACTAAAATCTTTTTTCAAAATACCCTTTGTAAATATTGTTCACTTATGTTAACTTATCTATGTGTGTAATTATCTACACTTTATGTCATTATGATTTTAGCCACAAATTTCAAAGATCAATGGTCAAGATTGGTTAACAAAATTAACACAATAATTGGGTTAACAAATGAACTTGCCCCATATATATATATATATATATATATATATATATATATATATA